ACACTCTATCCACTGAGCCAAACCGGTTTCGGCTCTTAGGAGAAGATTTGATCATGGTCTGTGCTGTCCCCATTACCACAGGATATGAACTTTGAGGACATGGCCGTTGCCTTCTCCGAGGATGAGTGGGGGCTCCTTGATGAGCCTCAGAGACTTCTGTACTGCGATGTGATGCTGGAAGTTTTTGCACTGGTGTCATCTGCAGGTAAGACCTTCACATTCCCCCAGTGTCCTGAGGTGATGTCCCTTAGCCAGACCATGGGCTCTGCTAATTGCCCCCCTGTCCTGTCAAATGCACTGTGGCTGCCAGGGGTGAGCTGTGTGGAGAGCCCTGAGCAAAGGACTCCAGGAACATCCCTCACACCCGTTGCCTCAAAAAGTACAGGAAGTGTCCAGTATTCAGGAGTCTTGCAGTGAGCTTACTGGGTCCCACCTTGCACATTCTCTTCCTGGGAGGGTGACTGTCCACATATAGGGCTTTCACTTCTTCCCCCTTCCTCTAGTTCAAGGTTCTGTGTGACGACCTGTGCCAGGTTATGGTCTTTCCTGACATGAGCCACGGCCTGTTACTGTAAGACCTCCTTAGATGTTTGTAAAATTCTCTTTCCTGAACACTATTGCAGTAACTGCTACTGTTCGCCTCTTCATCACCTATCCCTCTGCACTGCTGCCTCTGCAGTACTCCTCAGCATGGACCTGCACATGTGTTACGAGGTGCACATACATGCTTATGCAGTCCTTAAAGCCACCTACTCCTTTATTGAATTTCACTTGGAATAAGACCTACCCAACCTCCTGCACAGCTTGCCCCTGTCACCATCAAACAAGCCCTGCTCAGCACTGTTAGCAGAAGACTGAGCTGGAGATCTGGCTTCTCCTCCACGTGGTCCTTGCCATGTGTTGTGTCATATTTCTGGTGAGGCCTTCCCTGTTTTGTGATCCTCAGTGGCCCAGACTTCACAGCAGCCTCTTACTGATCCTTCCTGCTCCTCTCTTATTTTCAGACAATTGCACGGAACCCATGGATTATGTGCAAAACACTTTTCCAATTGGACTTCCCCTGTCACCACAACCAACATTCACTTACTCAGCATTTCTCTGTTTTCAGGTTGTTGGCATAAAACAGATGATGCGGAGGCCTGTTCTGAGCAGAGTGTATCTGAACAAGAGGAGTCACAGGATAGTGCTTCTAAGACAGAGCCAGCCACCCAGAGGTCCCATCTCTGTGGGAGGTGTTTCTCTGTGTTAAAAGGCATTCTGCACCTGACTGAGTCACAAGCAGCAGACATTGAGCAGAAAGCCTTCTTCAGGGACACATGTGTGAGAGACTTCTGTTTCAGTGCAAACCCTCACCTGCAACGGAGGGAAGCCAGCGGAGAGAAGCCCTGGAAAGGAGCTATGGACAGGGCCTCGTTTGTGACCAGGTGCAGCTTCTTCTCATCTTGGGTGCCTTCACCCAATAAGGAGGTTGGGGAAGATTTCCCAGCCATCTCAGAGCTTCTCCAGCATCAGGCCCCTCTCGACACCGAGGAGCCACACAGTGGCAGTGAGATTTCCCAGGAATTGCTCAGTGGAGAAAGTCTGCACCAGTGGGGTCAATGTGACAAAGCTGCCAGCCACACCCAGAAAGTTGTTCCTCAGAGTGTCTGCTCCGGAGAAGTGAATTATGAGTGTAACAAATGTGGGAAAGTTTATAGACGAATCTCTAACCTCATTCGGCATAGCCGAGTTCACACTGGAAAAAAGCCCTTTGAGTGTACGGATTGTGGGAAGGCCTTCAATCAAAGGTCTTACTTCACTAGACACCTCCGAGTTCACAGTGGAGAAACGCCCTATGAGTGTAGTGATTGTGGGAAGTCATTTAGACAGATCTCTACCCTCAGTCGACACTATAGAATTCACACTGGAGAAAAGCCTTTTGAATGTAGTGATTGTGGGAAATCATTTAGACAAAGCTCTACCCTCATTCGACACAAGACGGTTCACACTGGTGAGAAACCCTTTGAGTGTAGTGATTGTGGGAAGTCATTCGGGCATAGCAGTTCACTTACTCAACACCAGAGAGTTCACACTGGTGAGAAACCTTATAAGTGTAGTGAATGTGGGACGTCATTCAGGTTCTTGTCTACTCTCACACATCACCAGAGGGTTCACAGTGGAGAAAAGCTCCATGAGTGTACTGATTGTGGGAAGTTGTTTAGAGAAAGTTTTTCCCTAATTCGACACCACAGAGTTCACACTGGAGAAAAGCCTTATGAGTGCAGTGATTGTGGGAAGTCATTTAGACAAAGCTCCACCCTTATTCAACACCAGAGAGTTCACACTGGAGAAAGGCCATATCAATGTAGTGATTGTGGGAAGTCATTCGGGCATAGCAGCTCACTTACTCAACACCAGAGAGTTCACACTGGTGAGAAACCTTTTGAGTGTCCTGAATGTGGGAAGTCATTCAGGTACTTAACTGCGTTCACACATCACCAGAGAGTTCACACTGGAGGAAATCCATGAGTGTACTGATTATGGGAAGTCCTTCAGGCAAAGGTGTACCCTCACTAAACATAAGAGAGGTCACATTGGTGAAAAACCTTTTGAACATAGGGATTATGGGAAATCTTTCCATCAAACCTCTGCCCTCATTCGACACCACAGTGTTCACTCTGGAGAAAAGCCTTAAGTGTGCAGAGAATGTTTTATCTTCCCCATTCCCCAGGCTCCTGGCCCGCTGCAAGGACACTGAAGGAGAGACTGACCCATTTACCTGAATATAATCCCCTTTTATTTATTTATTTTTAAAAATATATTTTTATTGATTTTTAGAGAGAGAGAGAGGGAGAGCTAGAAACATCAATGATGAGGATCATTGATTGGCTGCCTCCTGTACGCCTCCCAACTGGGGACTGAGCCTGCAAGCAGGGCACCCTGGCGTGTCCTGACGGGAATCAAGCCAGCGACCTTTTGGTTCCTGGGTCAACGCTCTACCACTGAGCCACATCCGCCAGGCTATGATCGTCTTTTAAAGGAACATACACTCTGCTAGGTTCCTCAAAAGTTTGTGATACACGGGAGGCTTTAAAGAGCTGCATTGCACTTGCTAATGTGCTGAGACCTACCTCATGGATGTTACTGTGAGTATTTGTGGCTGAAGTGACCTCCTCTACCACCTGGCTCACCTGAAGAGTGTGCACCAGTCACCACCCCTGGTGCTCAGGGAAAAGGAATTCTGTGTTCTCCCTTGTGCTTAAGTGAATTATGAACACTCTGAGCTCTTGGCAGGATCCTCAATCCTTACTCTCTGACCAGGAAATGCACCTGACCCAGGTTTCATCCAGAGCTCCCATCCTCAGCTAAGAAGAGCTACCTATTTCAAGGACAGTGTGGGTCTTGCATTTCGTTGTGATGAATTGTTTCAGGTTCTGCTTCACCAACCTGCACACCGCTTGCCCTGGTTTGTAATGTTTTTGTAACGGTGTTTTTGCTTTTGTACCTTCAATTTTGTTGGTCCTATTCACTGCCTGGGATCATTTGCAAGCACAGTGGTGACCTGTCGGCATGGAGAGTTACCAGACCTTGTGGGGATCCCAAACTGTGTGCTTCTGAAGGGACAGCAGAAAATCACTCTGTCCAATATTGGCTGATTTTGCATTAGTGTCCAACACCTTGAAATAAAGACCACTTGACTTGTGGTTCTATTTTGCAGGTTTGATCCCCAGCACCACACTGTGGCTGGTGCAGGAGACACCCAGCCATTGTTTCTCTCTCATCCCCCTCCCTTCCACTCTCTCTAAAAAAGGACCATCCACCTTGGTTCGCTGAGATGGGCCTCTGCTTGTACAGCCCACCTTTCCTTATTGTCTCCTGCCTTTGCCTGGGATGTTCCCCCTGCAGCTGGGCATGCTGTGTCCTGCCCAGGAGCTGGCAGAGAGGAGCCCAGTGCAGGTCCCTGGGAGGGATTGGGGTTCTGTGTCCACCTGAGAGGATCTTTCAGAGTTCTGCTGTTTCCATCCAGAGGCCTCTCCAACCTGCTCTCCCCTGCCCCTCTGCAACTGAACTTCCTTCTGCATCCCAGAGAAGCCCTCTGATGCTTTGGGCCCCAAATCAGTTCACCTTTTGGAAGTCCAGCCTCTGGCCAGCCCACACCCCTGAGGCCCACTGGTAGTCTTTGAGTCTCTGTTTTTGAATTGTGGGGGTAATTTTCCACTTTGATGTTATTAAAAACTAGAGGCCCGGTGCATGAATTTGTGCATGGGTGGGTCTGGCCGGCCCACCCCGATCAGGGTCAGTTGGAGCCAGCCATCAAGGGAGAGGGGAGGTGGGAAGTTGGCCGACTGGCCCTGCCCCATCGGGCCAGTGGGCCAGATGCAGTGCAGGTCATAGTGACTGGTCGTTCCAGTCGTTCCAGTATTTGCATATTAGCCTTTTATTATATAGGATATTTCTTAACCAGGATGCAGAAAT